TTCAGACAAGTCGTTCAATCATAAAACAATTGGTAGAAGCCAAATGTTGCTATAATTTGTCTTCAGTACTTCACAGAACGGGAACTGTGAAAACAAAAATGTGATTTGGGTGAGTCAAAGCTTTCTTTTTTTAATTTATGTGTATGAGTGTATTGCCTGCATGTCCGTAAGTGCACCCATGTTGTGCTGTGCCCATGGAGGACAGAAAAGGGCGCTGGATCCCCTGGAACTGGAGTTAAGGACAGTTGTTAGCTGCTACATAGGTGTTGGGATTCAAACCCTGGTCTTCTGCAAGAGCAGCCAGTGCTTTTAACCTGCTGAGCCACTTCTCCAACCTAAGTCAAAGCTTCTTTGGTAAATATTCTTAAATATTTACTATCTTTTCATATTGGTCAACATGTTTGTGGGTGTCCAGGGGATATTTTCATGACAAGAAATCCATAATATACTTCCTCCACTACACAAAAATTTTCAGAAGGAACAAAAATTAACTATTAACAATAAGAAAAGATTTAAAATTAGGGTGTCTTTTGCTGTCATTTAGAATCACCATGTTAAGACAATCTGGGGCTGCTTTTCTGTCTTTTATATTAGAGTCCACAGTCTGGCCACTCACTGTATTCAGTGCTGGCTCCAAGAGTTCCGTGGTTCTTGGCAAGAGCGCTGTTTGACAAAGTTCCAGCCAAAAGCCGATGGCCGCTGCTCTTTTGGTGGATAGCCTTCCCTAGTTACTCCTGGTTTTTGTAATTTGTATAACCTTCTCTTCTTTAAGTATTCTGATAAACAACTCTGATGATGGAATGGGAAACTAAACCAGGGAAATCTCTGCCTTTAGTAGAGTTCCGTGGTTCTTGGCAAGAGCGCTGTTTGACAAAGTTCCAGCCAAAAGCCGATGGCCGCTGCTCTTTTGGTGGATAGCCTTCCCTAGTTACTCCTGGTTTTTGTAATTTGTATAACCTTCTCTTCTTTAAGTATTCTGATAAACAACTCTGATGATGGAATGGGAAACTAAACCAGGGAAATCTCTGCCTTTAGTAGATTATTGAAACAAAACGAAAGTAAAAAAATAGACGACTTTCTCCTACAACTATGACGTCGTTTGGACCTGCATTTGTGATTAATAATGAGGCTTGGTTTCCCCCAAAAGGAAAAGATAGCATGCAATAGATGCCCTGCTGCCTTTTACAGGAGTTTATGACTTTAACCCTAAGTGAGAAACGATTGAGACTAAAGTTTGGTATAAGAAAAAACTATTTGGCTTAGGGAAGCTCCCTCTTAGATAGAAAGATTAGCTAAGTCAGTAAAAACCTGGTGGTGCATGACCTCTGAAGAAAAATTGCCTATTCTTTTACAAAGACTAAAAGCCCTTAAAGTTAAATGGCAACAAAATAATAAAGGATATTGAAATAAAGAAAATAATCATAAGACTCAAAGAGTACAAAACGTTCAGGAAGAAATAGCAAAAGGGAGAGGAAAAAGATAAATTGGAAAATTGGTTAGACAATAAATAAAGAGTTGGTTATTCCCATTCCCATGAGAAAAATAATTCTCTCAAATATACACACCTACCTGTAAATATTAAATTCAAAGAATTAAAGGGCAAATGGGGACAGGCTGTCTTACAGTTCTATGGTAAAATAGAAACCGCAAGGCTGTAAAGAAAACAACGAAGACATTGCTTGGCTGTGTTAAGAAAAGGTTAATCATTGAACTTTGTACTTCCCTCTTACTGTTATTAATGAAAAATATTGTACACTGAGAAATATTTTGCAAACTCATGGTTTGATTTATGGTCTGATGCCTTACTGCTATTGTAAGCTTTCTAATTATAAATAAAGGTTGTTTTTTCAGAAGTAGAGAAGTAGAAAAAGAAAGAAGATATTCGGGCTGACCTCTCCCGAGCGGGTCAATCAACAGCCTCTACTAGAACTGCAATTGTGGTTTCTGGTATAGTCATTTCTACTGCCGCAGTTACCTTCACCCCTTCAGGCCCCGGACTCAGCTGGAGCTGGACTCCGGCAATTCAGTAGTGCAAAATTCGGTGATGCCCGCCCTGTCTTCATTGGCTGCCTACTGCCTCTTCTACAAGTTCTCCGGGCATGCAGACTATGAAGGCAGCACTGCTGGGACAACTGGCACCTGGTGCTAGATCTCATGTTGTTTTCTGAGAAAATAATCTAATAGTTCTTAATGGAAGATAGGAGGTAAGAGACAAATCAGATAAAATCTGGCAGCGTAAGTAGATAAGAGGTGTTTAGAAAAAGGTGGATTCTGTGTATTATACCTTAAACCTGAAAACTCAACATCTGTAAATAAAGCCTACCAAACTCATGTGCCTGTGTTTCTAAAGAATTATTCTAGGAAAACTGCATTTCATTTTTAAAATTTAAAACATGTCTGATGACTTCAAGTTATTCTACAATCCAATATGCTAAAATTCGTAAAAACTGTGAACAATGTACCAGGACAACATAAATTCTAAGTTCAAAGCTAGAGCCCTCCCCCTTCTTGACTTCACTATAAACATAAAAATCACAGTATAAGCCTAGAATCTCAAAGCTAGTATATTAAACATATTTTTGAAATTGGTTTTTATAAATTTATTTTACAAGTACCTTTAGTTTTTTACTAATTTACCCCTAATAAATACAATTTAGACATTCTTGAAAGTAAAAATCATCAAAATAGTTTATATCAGTTTATAATTAAAGTGGTCACAACTGGGAAATGGGACCCTTGCAGGGAATAAATACCTATGAGTCATTGCAGAGGCAAGTTAGAACTCTTCTTTCATGCCCACTACCCAGGACAAAGCTCAGTAGTATCACACTGTTTAGGATCTGACAGGCACTCTGATGGTGCAACACTTTCACCGTGTTCTTTAGTAACATACAGTGACTCCAGGCACTTCTGCCAGCTAGCAGCGCTTTCTCCTTGGTCAGTACATTGAAATATAAATTATACTCCCTGAAAGTACTTTTATCTGTCTTCATAGATAGTGTGCGTTTATCTTTGCTTTAGACATTCAACTCATAGGTTTACACACTTTTTCAATGAAGATATTTCTGCTTGCATTTCACGAAGAAAAATTTGAAGGGACGTTTTTATTTTACAGGCTATTTAAAGTCCCTCTAGGTCAGGTTAAAGTGGGCAGTCTGGCAGGAAGCCACTGTTGACAGGCTGAAATAGTCCCTCCCTCTGTGTTTATGCTACTTTATTGTCCATGGCCTTATGAAACAGACACAGAACTACCAGAAAGGAAAACAGAGTCAGACCGGTCCTTCCACCTTTCAAAAGCCCAAAGTATTTTGAAGGCCATGATTCACTGAGATTCACAGCTGCTTCCAGTAGTCTGAAGTCATACATTTTAGGAGAGTTACTGATCTGGTAGGAAAGTGGAACAAGAAGCAAGCGTCACAGCGTTTTCACAGTGGAACAACTCAGGGAGATACAACTACTGTGCCCCTAAATTTTATTAGTTCCGATTTTTTTCTTCAATTTCAAGGGAATAACATAAGCACAGAAAATAAAATATACGCCAGTCCATTATCTACAGAGTCTTCATCTTGGCCATGAGGTCTTCCAGGGTTTCTCCAGAATCTTCCACTGTTACTTCAGGAACAGAATCTTCTTGCTGTCACCATGAAGGAAATAAAATGAAAACAGAACCATTAAGAAATTGTTCATTCTCAACAGTCAGTACACTTTACCCAGGCTCAACACCACTTTATAAAGCAAGTTTCTCTAATATGTCAGACAATATTTAGGAAAAACAAAGTACTTTCATTCCTCAGCAAAACTTGATTTACAAGACAGCACTTTCAATACTCTTTTCATCTATACACCCATTTATGGGGAGCTGTGTGAAGTCTGGATAATACACTGTGTAATGTTCAAATCAGGGTATGTCTATCTCGTCAAATCATTTCTCTGTGGTTAGAACATTCAAAAATCACTTCTTCTACCTTTGTGACACAGCAGCACGTTATCATTATTGGCAGTCACCCTCTGCGGCACAGGACACCAGAGCTTGCTTCTCCTAACTATAACTTGGAAGCTGTTGATCAGCCTTTTCTTACCCTCTGTTTACCCTTCCCAGCCCCTGCAACCACTACTTGACTCTCAACCAAGCTTTTCAGAGTTTACCTCTGAGTAAGATCATGTGGTACTGTCTTTCTGTGCCTGGATTTACTTAACGTAATTACCTCCATTCCACTGTATTGTTACAAATGACAGAATATCATCCTTTTTATGGTTAACAGTATTCCACTGTGCATATAGATCATTTTTTTTTATTAATTAGTCAATGGATACTTCAGACCTTTCCTTGGGATACATACCCACTGGTGAAATTCATAGTTCTACTTTTACTTTTTGAGGAACCTCCCTTTTGTTTTTCATCCTCAACAACAGTGTTTTTTTATACTCTGGGTTCCCTTTTCTGCACATTCCTTCTAGCACTTGTTACCTTTTATCTCTTTTTTTATTTTATTTTATTTATGTGTATGAGTATATTGCCTGCATGTATGCGAGTACACCCATGTCCTGCAATGCCGTGGAGGTCAGAGGAGGGCTTCAGATTCCCCTGGAACTGGAGTTAAGGACGGTTCATAGCTGCCATGTGGGTGCTAGGAATCGAACCCGGGTCCTCTGCAAGAGTCAGTGCTCTTAACTGCTGAGCCATCTCTGCAGCCCCACCTTTTATCTCTTAGAGCAAGGCGATACCTCACTGGTTTTCATCTGCATGTCCTTGAAGATGAATGATGTTCAACATTTTTCCTATACCTGTTGTCTATGTGTATGTCTTTCAGTCTGGTGGTCCCAGCCCCTGCCCTGTATGTCTTCACTTAAGAAAGTTTCTGTATTTATGTAGTCCCTCTCTGTCTCTGTCTCTCTCTTAGCAAGTTCTTACTATATAGCCCAGGTTGACCTCAGACTTGCAACCCTCCAGCCTTAGCCTCCAAAGTCCCAGGATCACGGGAATGTGCCACCATACACTACTGGAGTATTTTTAAATGGCCTTCTGACTAAAATCATCAAATCAAAAATAACATTTTAATTTAACCAAAATGTATTTTATTTGATCCATTAGTGGATAGAAAAAAAATCTGTATTTTCTGAGTTCCAACTCCATGTTGTCAGTGAATACCTGTTTCTTATATGTTAATGCCTATAGTGAAAATATCTAAAACAGAAAGTATTTCATTGTTGTTAACAACATAGGATGAAGCAGACGAAGATAAAAACACATTTTCTCTTGTCTGATATTTACATATGATCAGTAGGTTTTACAAATACCTTCTTGGGGATTGTGAATGCCACTGTAATTCCTTCAGGTAAATCAGGAATGGGACCAGAAGAATTCTTCAGTTCCTCTTCTGAAACCTCAGACACCAGCTCAATGCCTATCAAATTAAATTAGACCCTATGATTATTCTCAAGAAACATCTTAAGCATTAGCTATTTTGTTTTTGTCTTTTTGAGACAGGGTCTTCCTGTAGCTCCAGCTGTCCTGGAACTCACTATGTAGACCACCAGGCTGGCCTTGAACTCACAGAGATCTGCCTGCCTCAGTGTAGGATTAAAGGCGTGCACCACCACGCCCAGCCTATTGCATTAGCTATTTTTAAAATATTTTTTATGTGTATGCGTGTATTGCCTGCATGTAGGTAAGTGCACCCGTGTTGTGCAATGCCCAAAGAAGACACAAGAGGCTGTCGAATCCCCTGGAACTAGAGTTACGCAGTTGTTAGCTGCCATGTGGGTTCTGGGATCTGAACCCAAGTCTTCTGCAAGAACAGTCAGTGTTCTTAACCGCTGAGCCATCTCTCCAGCCCCTGCATTAGCTATTTTAAAATTGTTATGATCTCAAAGGAAGGTCTCTCCTGTCTGGCACTGTTTCTTGTTATATAGCCTTTAGCTATACACATGGACTCTTAAATATACTGATTGCTTTAATCTTTGGTTATACTTTCCTTTTGGGTGTTTAAGATTATAGAATTGGCCCAAATAAACCAATTTATTTTTACTCTTAAGGTTGTTTGAGGATCTGTTCCTCAGGAGTCACATGGGCTTGGGAGAAGCCCCTGGCTCATTTTTTTTTTTAATTTTATGTATATGATTGTATTGCCTGCATGTATGTGAGTGTATCTGTGACATGCAATGCCGCGGTCAGAAGTGGTTGGCTCCTTTCTTTTACCAGTTCCACCTATGTGACAATAAGTCAAAGATCCTGCTCAATCATGCCTGGCTTCACTTGGAAGCCTAGAGGAGATATTTCCTCTGTGTTGACCCTCCTCTTTGTAGACTGGACACTGGTTGAAGTCCATCTCGTGGGGTCTCCATAGCCTCCCTAAACAAGAGGACAGGTGACACACCACAGCTACAGGACATTTTGAGGGATGCTCCATAGTCCCCTGGAACTTAGTCTACCTTGGAGGGCAAGGAGCAAAAACTGTCCTTTAGGTCCCTCCGACCAGATTAGTATAGGTCTCAAAGTATGGCTGTTAAACATCCAAGAAGGTTAGTTCCACCAGTCTGGTACTTTTAATTACCATGTGCTATGTAGATAAAGCTTGGGCAAAAACCAAATGTTCTCAGATAAACCTTGACTAGATATACATTTTGTTCCTTAAACTAGTTGCATGTATAATTTGTCAGTAGGTTGTTGGACTAATATGGTTCAGACAGTAACCCAGCATAGAACTGGGAAAATGAACAGCAGACCCCAATCTTATCTAAAGGAATGTTGGCAACTGACTGCTGCTAGATGAAGAAGAGTTGAGCTTCCTAAAAGAAGGGACTCTAGATAGGCTGACTAGAGTTAGTGGATGGACTTGCACTGGGGAATGGCTGGGGGCACTGACAACAACACTGGGATGACAGAGTATATGGGCTCCAGTGGAGCGGCGGGGAGGCTATGGAAGGGTGCCATTTGAGATGCAGGTATAAAGATGAATAGGATTGCTTGGGATGTTCTATATGAAATACCAAAAAAAAAAAAAAAATCAATTAAAAAATAAATAAATAAATAAAATTGCTATGATCTTTGTCCCTCCCAGAAGACTTGGCTTTCCAGCAGTCTCGCATATGAAAGGCTTCCTACCCCACTCGTTCTCCTCATGCACAATGTGCTCCTCTTCCTCAGGGACAGCCTCCTGTTTGGGCAGTGCTGCTGCCTTCTTCTGTAGAAACAAACGGTACCAAAGGCTCTCGTTACTCCTCCTTGGTTCTCTGCAGCACTCAAGAATTCATGCAGGTCTTTTACCAAAACCAAGAATGGATTTTGACTTTTGCACTATGCTAAAGTACTTAAAATTATAAAATTCCAGAATCCATTTATATCGTATTCCAAATCTGTCTCATTTTCAAGTTTCTGTCCTAGGCCATCTGACCCACTAGACGCTCTGACAGGTGACATATACCTTATGCTCTTCCTGCTGCTTCCTGCAGTTCCTGTCGTCACACTGAGGATTTGGCTTCATGGACATGGTAGGGAAGAAATCCTGCATTGCGTTGTATCCAAGGTAAAAGCTGACAGCACCAAAATCTAACAGGAACCTGGAAAATAAAATCAAAGTCAACTTAAATACAAAAATAAAGCCATAAAAGTACTAGAAGTGATTTTTTTTTAAGACAAAGTCTCACTATGTAGCTCTAGCTGGCCTGTAACTCAGGTATGTTGACAAGGCTGGCCTTGAACTCAGCCTGTACCTGCCTCTGCCACCCAAGTGCTGGAATTAAAGGTGTGCACCACCACACCCAGCCTGAGCAAGGGAATTTTTTTTTTTAATGAGTAGGTAATGATTTTTATAACATGTAACCTATAAAACAAACTTTCTATTTACTGCAAACTTTGACTCATGGTAAATGCCTGAATATTTGTTGAATGAATGAAGGAAAGTAAAGAACACACTTCTTCATCAGCTGTATGAGCTATTATTTTTGAACCTCTAATAAAGATAAAATGCTAGTAATTAAAGTATGACATGTAAAAAGCTGTAAGAAGCACACTGATTCTAGAGACAATAAAATATGGAGTCTTGCATGCACAGGGTGCTGAGAGCAACTGCAGCTCTGATCTTATTCTCCTGGCATGAGAACTACAGTCAGATGTTTACAGAACACTGAACAAAAATAAAATGGCTTGAATATAACAATTCATCAAAATAAGATGAGCACAGCAACATTATCTCCATGCTATGTCTACTTAGGAGGTCAACATGTTTCATGAGAAACTAGAGGGGAGAACCAGCATTCAGAGATACCTCCCCAGCAAGCATTCTTGCATAAACTTTCTCATGAGACACATCTCTCCAGACACACATGCTCAGAGTTCAGCTTAATTTGCCAAGCACATTTTTAAAGCCATAATAACACTGGACTATTTGGTCTGGGGAGATAACAGTGGGTGAAGTGCTTGCTATGAAAGCATGAGACCCTGAGTTTGGATCCCCAGCACTCACATTATAAGTCAGGTATGACACTGAATACCTATAATCCCAACACTGGAGTCAGAGTGGGGAGTTGGAGACAGGTGGATCCCAGGACCTTGGCTGTACAGTCAGTGTAGCCAAAACAGTTCAGTGAGAGAGGCTGTCTCAAAAAATTAAGGTAGACCACAACTTGGTTGCAAGGTACGGAGAAATCGGGCTGGCACTGAACAGGAACCTCCCTGCTGATGAGCTTTCAAGGTGCTGGAAGGTGCTACACAGGCTGCTGGAAAGAAAAAGCAGCAATGGTCTTATCCAGCTGTGAACCCTACAATCCACACCACCAGTGGGAGTGCCCACTGCTGCAATACTGGCACAACTGTTGTGCTATCCAACCACCAACCACAGATTGGATTTAAGGCCTGCTCCATAAGAGAGAATTCTTACCTACTACTGTAAACTTGGTCAAACCCATGGCTGAGGATGCTTTTGGTTCCAGGGGTGAGCTCACTACTATTGTTCAGCAGAATTGTCACAGTGCCAAGCTAGCTGCCTTCTAACTATCTGTGGACAAATGCTACTCCCAATCTTATCCAGAGAAGCCTCACTGTAATGACCAGCATTGAATGCAGATACACACAGCTGCTCAACATGTTGAGAATAAGTGACAGCAGAGTGCTCAGTCCTAAGCAGGACATTTACACTACCCTCTCCAAGGCTCAAGGATCACAGAAAAGAAAGCGCAAAGAATGTTAGCGTCAGAAGAGCACTGGCTACTCTTGCAGAGGACCTGAATTCGATTCCCAACACACACATGGCTGCTAACAATCGTCCATAACTCCAATTCCAGGGGATCTGACATCCTCTTCTGGCCTCATCATGCATGCACATACATACATGCAGGCAAATACACATACACACAAAATAAAAATAAATGTTAAAAACCTTCAGCTGGGCATGGTGGCACATACCTTTAATCCCAGCACTTGGGAGGCAGAGACAAATGGATCTCTATAAGATAGAGGCCAGCCTGGTCTACATAGTGTATTCCAGGCCAGCTGCAGCAGCAGGGAGACCCTGTCTCAAACAACAACAACAAAAAAAAAAAAAAAATTTCTGTGTATAAGATCATGTATAAAATATAATGAAGGCTGGAGGAACGGCTCAATGGGCAAAGTTCTTTCTGCACAAGCATAGGGACCTGAGTTCCAATCCTTAGAACCCACATAAAAGCTGGAAGTAGCACATCTGTAATCCCAGCAATACTACAGCAAGCTAGGAAGGAAAACAGGACAATCCCTGGAAGCACATGTGCCAGCCAGCCTGATCATGCAGAGGCAAGCAATAAGAGCCCATCTCAAACAAGGTGGGGGGACTGACACCTGAGCTAGTCCTCTGACCTCCTATGCTCAGCACAGCAGGCACATGCTTGTATTCACACATAAGCATGTACACACACACACACACACACACACCCATAAACACACAAGACTTTTAAAACACAAATTTTGTTTGCAAAAACATGTTAATATGTAACAAAGAAAAAATAGCAAATGACAGTTAAAAGATCATTGATAAAAAAAAATCCTAAGTGTCCAACCCTTTTTACAAATAAATAGAAATTAAAATGAAATACCCATTTTTCAGATTGGCAAAGCTTAAAGAATTTGATGATACCAATTCTGTAGAAAGTATACTTACTCTGTAATGGAGTAGCATAATCCCTTTGCAAGAGAAATGTTGTAATATTTGTTGAAATAAATTCCACCTACAGAACTTCACACAATACCTAAATTTATTATTCAAAGATACATGTAAGATGATGTGTAAAGCATTGTTAATAACGACAGTAAGTGCAGAGCCTTTGTGTTCATTAATAGAGGAACACTTAAGGGAATATTTTTGAGCTGTTACACTTTCCCTTTTTGGTAGAGTAATATGAAATGTTGTGTTTAGTGCCTACTGACAGTTACACAGGCTACATGCTCTCATACAGCACAGCCTTAGACTGTCGCCTTCAAAGTTCTGTACGTGTTTTTTACAATCTCTTTGCTGCCAGCCTCCACTTCTGACATTAGGATGCCTCTTTGAACATGTTACAGTTTGTTACTATACTGGAGAGTTAGACAACTAAGCTTACCAAAGCTGTAAAATGGGACAAAAACTGGCCTGACTTAGGGAATTCTAAAGGGGCTCTGCTTCTTAAGACTGAACTGGTTCATAAACTCTGACATGAAAGTTAACTATACAAAACACATTTTCCTCATTTTTAGCTCTAGCTAAAATAGTGGAATCTGGTTTGGGATAACAGAGGTATTTCTCTGGTTTGATCACATTTGAATGATTTTTAGTAAGAATTTAAGCCAAGACAGTGGAAGTAAGTGTGGTTATACAGAATTCTCCATCTACTGGGCAGGTCTGCAGAGCTTTAACTTATTTGATAAATGCTTCCTAAGTAGTCACGTGTCTCATAAGGACATTTCAGTCAGCAGACCACATATACTACAGTGGTCCCATGAGGCTATGTGGTCTAGTGTCTCTGTAGCCATTTCAGTTTAAGTGCATTGTGTTTCCACTATACCGAAATTCCCTAAATTGCATTTTGCACGTATCCCTCTAATCAAGTGATGTACAACTAGAAATATAACTAGCAAGAGCTTATCTAAATCATATAAACTATTCAGAAAATTAGCCCTTACTTACTTTAGTACATTTTGCACCAAGATTCCTGCAACCACGCCCATAGTGGTGGGAAGACTGGCTGCGCAGACTCCGTCTCGTTTCAGAGTTTTCTCATCAATGTTGGCAGCAACCACAAGTGGTGGAGCACACTATGTGAAGAAACAAGTTCAAAGGAAGCAGGAGAAGCTGCAGTGTTCCAGAGCGTTCCACCACATTTGTTTTCTGCTCTGAATTGTACTACATCATTTTTATAAGAACACTAGTTATCCAACAGTGAGGCATGAACATAACAAACAAGGCATACCGCAAAACAAGCTGATTCTCCAGGGATTATGAGCTGGATATGCCCCGAAACTGCATTTTCACTGACCCCAGATTCCATCCATGTTTGTCCAAGTTCGTTACAAGCCTTAACAGAAATTGGTGAAAACACAAAGAACATAAAACAGCACAAACGCTCTATTTCTTTTGTGAAATATCGGGAGTTAACTAAATTGATCATCAAGGGTTTTCAAAAACTAATTTTCAGGATGAAAGAAGTTGCAAACAGTTAAATGTCAGTATTCAAGAAATAGTAAGTATCTATCTTTTACATTCAACCATTGTTCATTAGACTTGTCAGATTAATGTAAAAATGTTTCTAAAATTTCAGCAATAAAAAAATCACAGGTATTTAAAAACAATTCAAAAAAATATCTTTTAAAATGTTTTCAGTTTATAAGACAAAAAAGTTAAAGTCAATAGTGAGATGGCTCAGTGGGTAAAGGTGCTTGCCATTAAGCCTGATGATCTCAGTTCAATCTCCAGGTCCCATACACTAGGAGTAAAAAACCAACTCTTACAAGTTGCCCTCTGATCCTCACATGTATGTCGTGGTATGTGCATGTTCACACACACAAAATAATGATATTTTTTTTTTAAAGGTGACCAAAAGAAAATATCAAAAAATACTCATTTACTTTAAAGATTACACACCAGAAATACCTGTCGCTTTATACTGACAAAAGAGCCTGGGAATCTGTAATGTCACAAGCAAAGCTAGACACTATTATCACAAATTCTTAGAACAGGGTTAACTTAGAACCACTTTTAGAATGAGGCTTATACATTGACAGAATACTCAAGGAAACATAAACCCAAGAGTGTAGATCTTACACAAGAATACTCACTGTATTTATTGCCATTCGAGCTTCAAAATTGTCCACACAGCTAAGCACTAGGTCAACAGGCTTTCCTTCTTCTAACCCGCCATTACTAGTCAAAAAGAAAACAAATTTCATTTAAAAAACATCAGGATACAAAATACATGCCTTGGGGCTGGAGAGATGGCTCAGTAGTTAAGAGCACTAGCTATTCTTGTAGAAGACCTGGATTCAAATCCCAATACCCACATGGTGGCTAACAACCATCTGTAACTCCAGTTCCAGGATATCCAACGTCCTCTTCTGTCCTCCACAGGCACTGCACAACATGGGTGCTCTTACACACAAACAGGTATAACACTCATACACATAAAATTTTAAATTAATTAATTTAAAAAAAATAGATCCTTAAGCCAGGTGTGGTAGCTTATACCTGTAATCCTAGCACTCAAGAGGCTGGGACGGCAACTAGTTCCACACCACCCCAGTAATATACAGCACTGAAATCTTGCCTCAAAAATCAACCAAAACAAACCCCATGACTCATTAAAAAAAAAACAAAAAAAAAAACCTCAACTTATTTTTTGAGGCAAGGTCTCAAATTCATGATCAGCCTGCCTTGGCCTCCCAAATATTGAAATAACATTTTCACCACTACACCCTTGGGATATAAAACACATTCTAATTGGATTTTATTTGTTCAGTAAGTTTTATTTTATTAAATTCTTGAGCATAACTATAGCTTAGCATTTAATGTCAAAGATTCCACATAAAGTATTAAGTCACTTTCTGGACAGAGTCAATGGTCCCACAGTAGCAAAGGAAGCACCACAGGTGCCATTTCCTTATCAGCTCCCACAGACTCTCTTTTTTGTACTAGGGATGGAGCCCAGGCCCTCCGGCATGCTAGCTAAGGGTTCTACCTGTGAGCTACACACAGCCCTATTGGGGTTTTCTGGTTTTTTGAGACAGGGTCTAAGTTGCTCAAGAGGGCCTTAAACTGTGATCCTTCTGCCTCAGACTTGCAAGCAGATGGGATTACAAGCCCTTTGTTACTAGACCAGCAACTTTAACACATTTGTTTATGCTTTCCCATAAATATAAATGTAACGAAAGTTTTAAAATTCGTTATTTCCAGGGTGTCCTGATAGGCTCCAAAGGAGATACTTTTCAGAGAGAAATACAAAAATACAATCTAGAACATAGAACTTAAAATTGAAGGTCTCTTGATAAAATTTAATTTTCAGAGGGATTTTTTTAGACTGTATGTGTATACATATATACACATATACAGAGACATATACACTAAGCTTCTAATATATAAACATTACACAAAACATGTTTTCTAAAAGCTGAAAAATATGTATCAGTCTGCCATTCACTGAATTCAGCAACGGATTAACAGTTGTTTAACTTAGCTGGACTTCTGTACATTACAGAAAATATTCATAAACTTTACCTTATTCTAGTCATGAAATGTTGAAAGTGTTCCACTGTGGTGATGTTATAGTTGTGAACTTCAAAAAGAACATCGGGATTAATGTTCCTAGGAAGAAAAGGGATGATTACAAAGACTCCTAGTGAGGAAAAGCAGAAAGGTTGAAGGCAACGAGCCCCTGGCATGGATCAGGGAAATGGAACTCAAGCTCTTCAAAGAAACTCCTAAGTCCTCTTCTACCTCTTTTGTCCCACTTGAAGGACTAAGTTTAAAAAATATATGGCTGGGGAGATGGCTCAGTGGTTAAGAGCAATGACTGTTCTTGGAGAGGATCCGGGTTCAAATCCCAGCACCCACGTGGCAGCTAACAACTATCCGTAACTCCAGTTCCAGGGGATCCAACAGCCTCTTCTGACCTCCACGTGCATTGCACAACACGGGTGCACTTACCCACATGCAGGCAGTACACGCATACACATAAAATAAAAATAATAAAATATTGAAAAAAAAATATATATATACACATATGTATGTAAAGCAGGCATGTCCAACCCAGTCCATGGGTTACACATGTCCCAGGACAGCTATGAATGCAACCCAGCACACCTATAGATGATACTTTGCAGTGTCAAAGGGTTAGACACCCCTGACGTAGACTATCAGGAATATTTCAGAATGCTTCCATACCAACCTGGGCCAATCTATGTGCTGGGAATAAAGCCTTCACTACTTCTGGCAGCTACAGTTCAGCCTGACAAGTTTCTTTATTCCTTGATCACATTCTTACACACAGCCCTGATTGGCCTAGTCCTTGCTATGTAGTCCAGGAGCGCCCCAAATATGGGGCACTGGGGTGTGTCTCAACTTCATGTGTACTGGGATTTCCAACACATGCCACACCTAGCTAAGAACAATTTTTAAAATGTTGTTTAAAAAAAAACTTTTCAGAGTATTCCATGACATAAAAATTACTTAGAATTCATATTTCAGAGTCTAAAACTCAAGGTTTGTTTGTTTTGTTTTGTTTTGTTTGGTCTTTTTGAGACAGGATCTCCCAGCTAGGCTGGAACTCATTATGTAGACCAGATTTGCCTTGAACTCGCAGAGATATGCCTGCCTCTGCCTCCCAAATGTTAGGACGAAAGGTGTGCACCACCACATCTGGCCTAAAACTCAAGTTTTACTGGACAAGACATGCTTGTCGTTTTTGAGTCTGTGGCTCAGTGGCTGTTCTCACACTACAGCTCCATGGTTAAGTCTGTGGCTCGGTGGCTGTTCTCACACTACAGCTCCATGGTTAAGTCTGTGGCTCAGCGGCTGTTCTCACACTACAGCTCCATGGTTAAGTCTGTGGCTCAGTGGCTGTTCTCACACTACAGCTCCATGGTTAAGTCTGTGGCTCAGTGGCTGTTCTCATACTACAGTTCCATGGTTAAGCAGTGGCAACAAAGAATATGCATTGTCTAGCCTCATATAGAAGAGAATCGTTTGCATAAGTGAAATATACATTTTATAGAGAAAAATTCTAGGCCATTTAGGTCAGTCCATACCAACTACACAAAGTATGATTCCACTGCATATAGTTTTTAGCTGCAATTCCATTTACCTCAAGGTATGTTCTGCTGCTTGAACTTTACTCAGTCCTGCTTGATGAGGCTGGAAAAAAAGTCTGTTCATATTGGCCAATTCCACCTTGTCGTAGTCAAAAAGTAGCAACTAAAATGAAAACAGTGGTATTCCAATGAAAAATAGCAAAAACTTAAAAAGAGCAAACATTAAACTAGTGGGCTTTACATTTGATGGGCCCAGCAATAACCAATAGCTAATTCTAAGACACTGGTGTCTTACATTAATTCACTGAAGGCTCACATGAGGTAAATCCATAGGTACTATTACTATCCTTAGTAATAAAGTGAACAGGACACCTTCTGGAAGTACACTCAGCTAATTCAGACACTTAATCCAGCTCCTCTCCCTGAACCAAAATGCTGCTTCTACAGGTGGGTTTATGAGAAGTGAATGTTCATTCCATTTCATTCCAGCTTTTTAAAAATATTGTGCCCAAATCATATTTCATTTTTTCTTGACACTTTTCATATGACACAACATATATCCATGCTTAGGCTAAAAAAACATTATTCTACTGTATGGTCTTAAACACCCAAAAGGAAATTATAACCAAAGATTAAAGGGATCAGTATAATTCTTTAAGAGTCCATGTGTATAGCTAAAG